TGATTGCATCTTGTTTGAATGTGAAAATTACTTTAAATAATTCAAGTAGGGATTTTTTCAAAGTACTCAGTGATGAATGATTTATTGTAAGGTCACTGCGTTAGTACGTTTTCCTGTCAGAAACGCTATGAACACAGGCGGGACTGTGAGCAGCGGAATCTCGTCAGCAAAGTCTGGTGACATCAACATCCAAGGTGCCGCTATCATCCAGACACTGAATGCTTGCAATTCGTCCGGAAATGCAACATCCATGGAAGCAGCTGCAGAACATCCGCTCACCATGTTTCGGGACGAATTTACGAGTACTTTGGTTGAAATAGTACCAAATATTACAGTTAGTTTTGTATAAAAAAATTTTGAAACACTATCGTTACACTTGATCTAAAATCTGATACTGAAATTATTTTATTGAAAATTATTTAGTTCATGACACCGATAAAACAAATGTATCGATATTCAAACTCAACTTAATAGATAAATTACAAATCTTGTAAATAATCTTTTCCTTAATCTTTAAATATTGTATTGCTATTTATGATTCCCAATCAGTACAAGTTAGAGTGATCAAATGTTTAGGGTTGATTTGGTGGACTTGATCTAATAAATGAGTTATTGAGTTAAGTTATGGATAAAAGCCTCATGTCGTAGATTATATTAAATGAGGAATGTATTAAAAAATATGTTCTGCTCCGTGTAACCTCTTTAAACTAAACTAACATCAACTATTTACTCATATCATATGGACTATATTTGTATGGAGGGATGCCTGAAGTAGCCTATCTTATTTTGTTTCGTAGTGCTTAGACTTTTTGAAAGTTTTAGTCCTGATTTTAGTCAATTTTTAAACCAGTTTTGTTACTGAAATTTGATCATGAATCACCTTATTTACTTATTTATTTATTTAAGTAAACTTAAAAAGGTTCTTGTTAAAAAGAAATGGAAGAACATTAAGAGCCATGTTTAACTATAAGAACATGTTGAATCTGTAAGAGAATGTTTTAAAACAGCTATGTTTTTTTCAAATGTCTTATATTTTATAATGTATTTATTTGGTAAGACCAACCATTCTTGCATTAATAAGTTTTCAAAACATTTATTCATGCTATATAGAAACAAATCTGAACATTCTTTCATGGACATAGATTAGGTGAAGTAGAAACATCATACATATAATATAAATTGAACTTTTAAAATCAATCAACAATATTCAGAGTGAGCCAGATAATTTTTAGTTTGGCGTTTTAAAAGATCAATTGATTACAATTCTATGAAAACCATTCTTTACTTAAACGTAGTTTACTTCATTCAAGAAAGATTTAAGAAATTTATATAGGCACTAAACCTACTTCTTTCATTATTGTGAACAATATAAAAAGAATGTTATTGATTTATTTTACCTATACGTTTGCTCTCAATTAGTTCACACCTTAAACATTATGTTTGTAATTTCACTTATCAATAGGATAGGAATAAAACAGCCATCGCAGCAGTCAGCGCAGATCGGATGATGTCTACGTGCCAGTGTACGTCACAGATGAGATAAGCAATTGCTTCGGCAGCAGGACGACTGATGAAGCAAATATTCTGCGTGTGTGGCCACTGTGAAGGTAAAATTACTTATCTTTTGACTCAACACTAGGGAATGTTCTAGAAAACACGTAAATGTTCGTTACAGGATTTGAGTATGTCCAATTATTATGTCTCAAGAAGAATAAAGTTTTAGGTAAAAAAAAATACTTTAAATTACAAGTGTACCTACTGAAAAGTTGCAAATAAACAAGACTTAAGGATTTGTGAAACCATTAAATGTAATCTCAAAACTTGGTGGAATCTACCCTGTATTGTAAAATTAAGTGTAAAGAAAGGATTAAAAATATGTATAGACAATGTAGATATACTTTTAGTTAACAACACAAGACGGTGTAAAAGGCAAATACATTTAGTGTAAGGAATTCAATAACTGTAGATTGGTCGGCAGTCAATCTGTTTGTTCTTTGTTGAGGCTATAAATAAAAAATCTCATTCAAATTTTCATTCGCTCAAGGATTTTTAATAAGGATAATCTGCTTGTATTAGTATTTTTTCATTATAATGTCAAAGTTCATTTGCATTTAGAAATTTTCAGTTTTTTGTTGTTTTTTTAAGGGAGGTTTGGTTTCAAAGCCAGTATAATTAGTTTCCACTATCGAAAAATAGACCTGTTTTACAAATTTAGAATTGACAGCTGTAAAATAATTCTTTTCTCTTAATCATTTTAATATTTATATTTGTTTACCATTATTACACAGTCAGAAGATATATATTTTATCTTATTTTATGAGGAAATTTAAATTTACCAGAATATCTTTTGGTGGGTCAATCGGAGACAAAAGTAAAACTGCAGAAAACAACAATGTAGACAGCTGATTTTGGCTGGGATTGGGGGAATCACAAAGACTGTAGGCGTCGGACCTACTAATATTTTTTCCTTATCCCTTCCTTAGTTCTTGACTCAGTTTTGAATCGAAACACATAATGAAGAGTGGGCTGGGCCTTTTCTCTTAAAGACAATAAAATCTAAGCTATATAGGCAGGCCACAAATTGTATAAAGCTGCTCAAACTCAAAACTGGAGAGAAAGAGGACTACTTCTAGCACATACTGGACAGATTTTCAGCATGGTTGTGCAATACCTGTGCAGCTCTTTTTTTACCTATTTCGTAATTGTTGTCGTGTACGTGCTCTGGGGGTTGGTAAATCAAAACTTTTCAACGGAAATAGAAGGGATTAATGTACATGTATAGCCAAAATAGTATTAAAATCTTTTTTCTCTCTAAGATGTTAAAGTTGGAGATTTTATTCCTTCAACCAGTGGACGTAATATTTCAGGACATATCATTATAAGGTGAGTCTAAAGGCATATTTAATGTTTTAAATTTTTAAATGTGTTCCCACCTAATGGAAGTCTAATACATCTTATATGTTAATTTACCTGTTAATTACGTCAATACCTCTTCATAATCTAGTGTAACATATTTAGGAGTTGTCATTGACGGTAACTACAAAAATATCTATCAGATTTATCTTCAATCTCAAATATAGACAGTCTTTTCCATACGTTTTTCGTTAAAATAACATGTTGACCTTTCCGTCAATTTTTATTTTTGAATCTTTGACCTTCTTAAAAAAGTAGACAACTGTCTCATATTCGTTGGTCACAACACTCAACACAACTTCAATCTAGGAAACTGTACATGCCAATTCCACTAGCCAGTACCAATGTTCATAAAAACCAGTAATTAATTGTTCATTTGCGTCCAACTGTTTGATTCTCTTCCTGGTCCGATTACGAGTGAAAAGGATTTTTCACCACACTATGATGTTTTTAGCCATTTTACAAACGTTATTTGGAGGTTGAAAGCTACGTAATGCTGCCCATGCCAGCTGTCATCGTCATTTGGGGACCGAGTAGGGTTTTACATCCCTAGGGCCGAAATTCAGCCGGTCGCTTATTTACTTAAAACATTAATGTATATTAAATACACGATAAGTATCCATACTATGCATTACAATAGACTTGTTTTATTGTCACCGCTGCCTAGCGACTATTTATTATTTTTGCTGAATCCTCTAAATATTTTTAGGTTATATATAAAGTTGTAGTTGTGTGCATTTATTATATATATTTGCTCAATTGTGTATAGTGGGGCGAAAACTAGTGTTCGTTATCACGGGCCAAAAGGGTTTTCGGCCCTAGGTACCAAACACAGTATATTATTTTAGAATTCCATGTGTGGTTAGAGACTGATAAGGAATATAAATAATAAGCCTACGTAGCCTTAGAGGTGTTTATATTTATTTCTTACATGTTTTACTTCAGTTGTGTTTAGTCTTCATGATATTGTTTCTGTACAAATCGTATTTTGGCAATAAAATAATTCTTATTCTGACAAAATTATTTAGGGGGTTTAAGGTATGTTGCGTATTACTTTATTTGCTCCATTCCTAGACTATTGCAGACAATATTTAATTATTTGTCAAGGCTACACCATTACTTATTAGCACCCAATAAATAACTAAAAAGCCCCAAAAATACTTTCGTGTCCTTTACAATACGTCACAACTACTGTATTTTCACTAATTCATACACATTTTAAATGCATAATAAAACAATAAATTGATTAATAAACTATTAGTGTAGTTGAGAAAGATATCTATTTGTGAGTTGGTGGCTCAGTCGAATGTACGAAGGACTACAAACCCATGGCAGTGATGTGGGCTCGTGCCCTGTTGCCCACCATTATAATATATCAGTACATTTAACCCTTTACTGTACCGGCTCACCCCTTGCTTAACTTGACACATTTCACGCACAGGTTTGAGGTACATATATCTACATAATGTGGACGGAGAATTGCAATAGAAAAAGAGACCGCAAACCTCTAAAATAAATAAAATAATAGTTATTGGAAATAGTTTTGCTTCACAAATTAAAACGTAATCAGCCTGTGCAGCTTGGCTCAAGGTCAAACTAACGATTGCAGGAATGAAGATTTACATATTATACATTATTCCAAACCTTTTCTCCTTTCTATTTTAGACCACTTATTTTAAAATACGTTTAAATTAAAATAGTTAATGTGTCAAATTATTAAGTACGGTATATAAAAGCAACAAGTGTCAAATATGTAAGTATCGGGCCACACCCAGAAAATGGCGTCACTGTAAACTCTAAAGGAGAGAAGAACATTTTTTATTCTTCTTCAGTTAACTTAGGCACAATAATCAACATATATAATTCCAATGGGGTTTAAACCCTTTCACGTAGCCGCATTGAAGAAACCACTTTTGAGTGACAGGAAAAATGTCAAAAACAGAACAGTTTTCAGCCTAAATAACCTGAATTTGAGCAACAAAGTTCTGGACCAATCACAAGTCGCCTTTTATCTACGTCACGGGAGCGCATGCGCCCAATACAGAAGGCGCAGACTACAAGCGGCTCCACACATACGTAGTGTGAACCTCTTAGTGTCAAGGCGCAAGTGCTATCCGGGGTAAGTAGCCTACCCTTATCCATCTTACTGTCGTTTAGCGTACAACATTCAATGTTAACAATTAGTAATAATTTATTTATGTTCAAATTAGTTTAATAAATTCCCGAAAATAACGCGTTTTTAGATAAATAACACTTTTAATGTGAACGAATCATTCAAACGTAGGTTTGATGGTAGATATATCAATCTAAGGTTGTTTTTCTTATGAGTGTTATAAATAAGTAATAGACTAACACTTTTTTATGTGTTTATATATTTTTTTAGGAAATGAATTTTTATTGGACAATATTTTGATCATAGTTCCATGCCTTAACTTCCTTTCATATTTGTAAATATCTTTTGAATTTAACTTGTAAGATTTCAAAACAAATTTTCAATGACTGTTTCTTCAATATCGTTCTTTTCAGATGGATTCAACTTTTTATCCAACACGAATACAAATTTGTTATTTGTAAATACATAAATGGTAGCATTATATTTACTTTGTTTGTAGCCTTTGCTCTTACAGAATTCTGTTTATCTCCAATATATTTCGGGTTTGTGACATCTTCAGGGAGAATTTTGGGATGTACTTTTTGCATTATATTTACTATTTATACACAGTTCAGTGATCTATGTGCCCAACGTTCCTTATCTTCATGACGCTGCATACGTAGGATCGCGGGCGCGGACGCGCGATGAACGCTTCATAAAAAATGTTTTTTTGTTTTACATACTCACATTTATTTGATGTAACACATTACTTTCACTCCCGGAGAAAATATTGCTTTCGTAGAAATTGTTAGTTTGTGTTTTGGGAGGAAAATTGGTTTGCAAAATGGTGTATGTGTGTGTGTGTGATGGATGTTTACAGAGCTACAAACTACACTGTGGTGCGATTTTAATGAAACTCGGTATGTGGAAACTAATCCATGGTATCTATAGGTGTTTTTTCATTTGTTTTAATTTAGATTTTTAATTAAGATTTTTTTTTACTTTTTACAAAAACGGCTAAAAGATTGTCCTTGAAATTTATGATTTAAATGTCTATTAAACCCTGAAGGAAACTTCACAACTCACAACGCTATATAAATTACTGTTCAAAAGTTATTACAACTTCTGATTTTCCCCATGAAAATTCATAATTTAAGTTTCCCACGATGATTGTTGTTTTACATTTTTTGCTCATAAAACTAGTAGAACGTTTAATTCTAATGCTTAAAATGGTTTACAATACCTGCATATAGTAATCCTTTGTTGGTGATTTTGGCAACTAGTTTCGGTTCATTTTTGAACCATCTATGTTCAATATAGAAAATCTGCTGAACTAGCTTAGAGAATTCACAGAAGGCTGTAAATATTTGCAAAATGAAACCGGCAGCGGGTTTTCATCAGTTTAGAACAAAACATTGATTGAATTTGAATAAACTTCTTCGTGAGCAGCGTGTTTCATACTTCCAGGGCTGACCGTGGTCCTTGTTCCATGATCTTCTAAAGAGGGGCCTGCGGTCAAAAGCACAAACTCTCTAGAATAAACAGCTGGGTACACATCTCCTGGTTTGCCATAGGAATGCACGGGTTTATTTGTGCCCTTGGAGGGTAGGTCGCCTCGTTAGGCACGGTTCACACGAGGGACTTTTCTAGCTGACTTGCATTGACTAGCATTCTTCGGCACCCATAAGGGTTAAGGCATAAGGGTTTATCTACAGAATAGGGGTACCTCAGCAAATAGGAGAGAGCCTCCTTTATTTTCCACCCTCAAAATTCCAACTGTTGTCATAACCGCAACAATTGTTAAGTTTTTTTTGTACCTTCGTAAGACTTTGGTTTCCAAAACTGGGAGGAACACTACTTGTATATTTTCTAACATAGTGCTCTATAAGATAATAACATTAATTTTACTTTTAGGAAAGAGTATAAAGGCTGATTCTAATCCCATATTAAATTCATTCAGTTTGAAAACTAGGGAATAAACAGGCATATGTTGAAGTATAAAAACTGTACAACAACTGAAGAAATTGAAAAAGAGTTGGAAAAGGACATGGAGACCCTTATGAATTTATTAAACCACACAACAACCCCTGCGCCAGACGTCATCAATATATTTCTCAATCGTACACTTAACGAGACTGGAAACATTGCTAACAGGACTATGACTGAATCACCATCGCATGCCTGGACCAACGGTAAGATAATTAGAATGGTAATTCTAAAACAATAGTATTATTTGTTTACATGTAAAAATATTTTTTTGTTGTTCCAGTTTCAAAAACTTTGATTATATTAGATTTACCTTTGTTGTTGTTGCCTGAGTTCTTGTAGGTAAGATGTCTGTGTTGATTTTTTTTTACCATAGAACATAAATGCATTGTTAGTCTTATAATTTATATTAACTTATATATTGCTTATATGGTTTAGTTTTAAATGCTAAACACTTTCATTGTTAGGAATAAAGTAGACACCTTGGCTAAACAATTTGCTACCGGAGCCATGTCCAAATTACAAAAGTATGAACCAGGTAGTGAACAAAGTGGTTCTAGTGGGTGAAGTTCCAAGTTATATTCCGGTTGCTAAGCCCACTAAACCTATAGATATCTAAACCTGCCGTGACAAGGTTGAGTGAGCAGAAAGGTGGCTCATAATATGGAAACTAATCTTAACATGTTAAACATCATTATTTGGATAATATTTCTTTGTTGGCAAACCTATTTAAGTAGTCTTTAAGTTTGTCTATCAAATACCACTAACTTTTTCCGTTTTTAAGTTACTATAACAAATAATGTCTAAAAATTAAAATTGCTATTACTTAAACCAAAACGTAAGGTAAAGCAATAATTGTTCACTAAGCCACATTTCCTATTCGTGCTGAGATATTAGACAAGACAAGAGGAGTAGCAGAGCGTTATGCAGGTACTGTATTGACGAACTGAGTGATATGTGGCACACTAAGACAGTAAGAAAGTCAAATTTAGGTCTCTAAATACCGATGCTTATCTTTTTAGTACAGACAGGGGTAGCAAAAGTGCTTGCCTTGATGTACCTGCTGCAGTGTAGAATCATACCACACGGAAACAGCACTCAATTTCGCAGCACTGAATCATCCACAGGGTGATTAAAATAACATAGAAGGTCAGACATCCCAAGATCAGATAGTTGAGATCTACTTTATGTCTTGTGGTATTTTTCAGGGATATTTACTACCTGCAGAATTGTTTTATGTGTTGCAGTGGGTTAGTTATTCTTATATTTTGTTATCATTTTTTCAGTAACCCTCTTTGCGTTGAGTGTGCTTGGACTGCTTTTCATCTTAGGATGTTACGCCATTTTTGGAAGACATCACAGAGCTATCTACAATATTCCTGGAGCAGCAGTTCAATACAGAGAACAGCCCCCTCTGCTTCCGATACCAGAGTCTCCTAAAGAGGAAGATGAGGTGAATGATTGTGGTGAGGTTGAAAACTTCCATCTACCCGGGATCAGCAGCTCCCAGACCAGGGACAAGTACAAGTCCATCCCCTCATGGAAATTCCCCGTAAGTTTACTTCTCATCATTGGTTCAGTTAGAAGGATTGGTCCATTAAAACTTTAAGATTGGTATAATGGTTTGGTAGTCTCTTAAATTGATTGTGTTCAGCATATAGTTTTGGTGCTGAATTATTGCCATCTTTAAGCTGTACCTAACCATTCAATTGTAGTTGTTCTGCTGAAGACCACCTTTAACCACTCATGACACAAAGACAAGCTCGACGGAAGTTGAGTTCTAGTGTTCCCGTGTCATGTATGTGAGTGTGTGCAGACAAATGTAGTGTTATTTTAATGCAACGGTCTCCAGCAGAAGATAATAACAGTAGGATAACTCCATGTGTAGCATGAAGATGGCAATGATTTAGGGACAAAACTAGTTAGGTGTATCGTATATCTGAACACAATTAAAGGCTCAATATTGGTATTAATATCAATTGTGTCTGATATTAACACCGTTTTTAGAATTTATTTATAATAAGTAGTAAGGATATGATTCCATCATGGAGTACACCATTTCATATTAAGGCTGAAGTACAGTAACAGAAATAAGTTATTTCAAACAATTAAAATAACATTGAAAATACTCTTGGTAGCCTCTAGTACACCTTTGTTTTAAAAGTAAAAGTTTGTCTGAAAATATGTCATAAGGCATATGTGGGCGCACACTGATCCAGCATTTCACCTGAAGCAAAATGTTGCACAACAATTTGCTTTAACCGTTTTGTTTCTTTGCTTCTCCAGTGTGCGAGAGGTTCAAGCATGATGCAGCATTTGGTTTCAAGCAAAAATAAATATTATTTGTACTGGTACTCTACGGTATTGTTTTAACATGTGTGACGAGGAAGTCAACGTAGCTATTGCTGTATGTCAGTTTTTTTGCAAATGCTAGACTAAGAAAGAAAACATGGTGTTCACTCAACCAATCAGATTATAGACATTAATGCTCTCAGAAATAAAATCAGAGCCAGTGAAATTTTACAATTACTATTGTCGAATAATTGCTACACTATTTTATTGTAAAGGTTTTTAAACACGTAAGTGATAGCATTAGAAATTATTATCTGATAATGTTGTGATGGTTATAAATAATGAACTAAATAACCTGGGTTGTTTCTTAGTTATCAACCGACTCTTGTCGGCATTTTGGCGTCCGCCATCCGTAATGGAAATATGAGTATAGTCAGTTTTGTTCTTTTTAAATTATTTAGTTCAATTACAAAGGAATTACAACAAGCTAATAAAAATACCGCTTACTGAACCTAACAATGCAAAACATAATACAAGGAGAACATATACTTAAATGATTACAAAACAAATAAATTAAGACACAGTACAATTTAATTTTACTAATTTTTATTTTATGTATGACTATCAAAGTGGTAGCAAGAAAAATTAAACAACAATGTGGTTAAATGGAAATTCAAAAAATATAACTTTTAAGTTGTAATGAAACGTCAAAATTCATTTTTCAAAGAAGAGTTATTTTTTAAACAACAAAAGTTCGATTGAATTTTGAAAGCCACTAATTCTTCACTAGAAGGGATTTGGCGCATGCGCAGAACGTTTTGCTCCTTGAAACATCAAACATTGTGCTGTATGGGATCCATTCGTCGAACAACTGCTCAAATGTTTTAAGGCGTTGCAAGGCGCCTAGCAACGTTTGCTTGATCAGTGTGCGGCGTCCTATTGAAATACATGGAGAGCTCGTACCCAGCGAAACATTTTGCCTCGCAACACTTGCTTCAGGTGAAATGCTTGATCTGTGTGCGTCCGGCCTAAAATCATACAAAATCTTCACTCAAAACAAAACTGGTCTTTTTGAAGTAATTACAGCTTGACTACTCTTGGAAAGTCCCTAGTGATTTTTTTTTTAATTTCTCATAATTTAATTTCTAATATACATTTTCTGAAATCGGATGGATTTAAACTGTACATATTAGGTAGTTGATTTGAGAAAGAGAGGGAATTTGATTCCTCTGTTGCTTGATCTGTTTGTTCCTCTTGGTATGTGTAAAACGAGATGCAACAACTCTTGTCTTAAAGTATTACACTATCAGCTAAAGCAACAAACTATGCTACCATATTCTAATCTTTGAACTTGTTTTCTCCTTGCAACCACAAAAAGGGAGCTTCAAGGGAAGGCACGTATTTCAACTTTGCAAGTATATAAATGACGCCAAAACGACGTTCAATGATATAATCATACAATTGTCAAGGATATACAAGACTTAAAGTAACAAACGCACATTTTAGATAGGTACATTTCTACAGTCATCGTTCAAAATATAGTTCGGCCGCTTAGATAGCGACCTCCTCTAACATTGGTTAGCATTAGCGCGCAGGTCGCTGTCTAAGCGGCCGAACTATAGGAGGTTTTTCATGCCATTATACAACATTTTGACATCTGACTGAACACTACCTACAGGTTACCACAGCTGGTTTTGTATTGACCCAAAGTCTCATAACGGTTGCACTTTAGTTTACGTCCTACATTTACTATTACAGTTGAACCTCTATAAGACGAATTTCAAGGGGTACGGGAAAAATTCGTACTATAGAGGTATTCTTAATAAAGAGGGTCGTTTTATCTAGGTTTAATGCAATATTAATGCAATACAGTTTAACTGCTGTTATTCTTCTTATAGAGGTTTCTCCTCGCTCCAAGGTTTCTCCAAACAATGACTGAGGAAGGAGGAGGGATGGGTGGGGGTTTCATGTTGAGACAAGCTTCTGTTTGTTTTGAAAACTACGTACTATGGAGGTTAAGATTATGATAAATTCGTCTTATAGAGGTCACGTTCGTCTTGTAGAGGTTTTGTGCTAAGAATATTCGTTTTATAGAGGTTAATCAGTCCTAGCCCATGTCACAAACAAATTCGTCTTATGGAGGTTTTTAACTTAATTACTACATTGTATAGAGGTGTTTTTAGCATTGACCTATATGAAAGTGTCAAGGGGATTAAAAAAAATCGTCTTATTGAGGAATTTGTTTTATCGAGGTTCGTACAAACGAGGTTCAACTGTACACATTATAAATTAACTACCAGCTGATTATAAAATGAAACTGTTCTAAACTAAACCTAACCTTAACCAAACTACAGGTGAGTAAATGTAGGACGTAAACTAAAGTGCAGCCCTCATAAAATAGACAAAAATGTATAGCCTATTTAAGTATAACTATAACTGTGTCAATGTATGCAAAAGTTTATTTTTAAAATTAAATTATTAATCCATACGTTGTTTCCTGTATAGAAGAAAGCCGAGGATGCAGAATCTAATTCAGAATCCCAGACTGATCCCTTGGAACACCTTGAATTTACTGACAGCCAACTTGACTTCACCGAAGCTATGACCATGGAGGAACTCAAGCAGTTCAAACAGGAATGTAAGGCCATCGAAATTATCCATCTTAAATGTAAGATAAGTATCATTGTGTGGGAGTGCAATTTTAACACAATCCTGATTACTTAAAGGGAGAGTTAGATAACAATGAATGGTCATTGAATGAGTCTTCCAACAAAACAGTAGTATAGTAATTGACATCGTCATCAGTGTACAAAAAGCTAAGATAATTATATGTTTTATATAATAACATTTTATTTGAAATGAAATATACTTAAGAAATTAAATTAGGGGCTGCCAGCAATTAAACGTCACAAATAAGATTATGAAAACTTAAGAAACTTAATAGCCAGATCTCTATTTACAAAGATATTTTCACACACAGTCACAAGTATAGATGATTCGATCGGACAACTCGACAATGGACACGCGGCGGAGTAGCAGCAGGTTTTTCTTCCTCTGCTTCATTTCTTGGAATGAGAGTGTTGGTAATTGAATTTGGACTGTTTAAATGTTGAGGGCTGTTTGGACTCTCCTGGTTTATGGTTGGGTGGGTGATTTTATCTCTGTAGTGTTGCCGGTTTGTCGCTGTGTTTCCAGTTTTGCTAGTTTCAATTTCATATATATTAATTGAAAATGGTAGAGCTGGTATAGTCTTCTTTTAGCGAATTTCTCATATAGGAAATAAGCTGTTACCGTAGGTCTCATGGTAAGACTTGGACCCGGGACCAATTTATTTTTCATTTTGATGTTCCTAGAGGCCAAAGCACCATCCGTCAAAATTCATATATATATATTTATATATGTGTGTCCGTTAGCACCATAACTCAGCAAAAATGATCCGATTTTGATGAAACTTGGTACAAACATGTAAACCTACCTTTATTCTAACGAGTTCCCGAACTAGCATGATCATGGAAATGGGGTTTTATGGAGGGATTTATGGGGTAAAAATTGGTTTTTCTCGTTTTTGTCCCTCAAAACATATAATTTCCCAATTTCTCTCTAGACCATTTTGAAGAACTTAAAAAAACGAATAATTTAGTATATTGAAGTGTTTTTGTATGGTTATTGATAACGGAGAAAATTGTAAATCTAAAATTCCAATGTTATTCTTATGGAGTAAACTGTTGTAGTTTGCTTGTTTATGGATATATTTGGATCAAACTTGGCAAATCTATTTATTTTCTACAAAGCTATTAATATTTTACTCATAAACACACTTTATTACCCTCCCTGTAGGCAGCAAACCTAGGTACTTGTAAGGTACTTGTTTTTTTTTAATAGATTTAATAGGTTTGCTGCGGCGGGGGTATTTTTGTTTAGGAGGGTGTTTGATCCATTTGTAGTTAACATGTTTATATATTTGGCAGCTTATACTCTTCCATTGTCAGGGTATCCCTTTGTTTTTTCAACATTTCACAAACAAAGCCAAAATTTACTATAAATAAACCCACTCAACAAAACGGGTCATGAACCGAAGTCCATATGATGGATTCGTAGCGAGCGACTGACGACCAGAAGTGTTTTATAAGAAGTAAAAGCTCACCAACTGTATAGCAGCATTTTTTTGTTCACTGGATAGTGGATATTGACAATAATTATTTCGCCCTCATGTCTCAGTTGACGTTCACGTTCACGTGGCACGTCCAGTCCCAGGTTGACACATAGAGAAAGTAAAGTTTTTATTGTAAAAAACATTAATATTCATTTCACATGCACACAGAGTTCTAAACTATTTGTCAATTTGATATTTGTAAGTACTGGCCCAAGAAGCGCACCGGTTGATAATCTTGGTTGGATTCGGATATGGACATTTACACTGCTATCTAGATTACATGTCCTCGGTGCAGTTTACCAGTTGATCTTAGATCGGGTCGAAGTTAGTTTGTACATAAATGAGGAGGTAGGGGTCGTTTTACTGTCATTGTAATCTTACATATCTTCTCAACTATCTAACCATTTGATTTGCTAAACACATGTGGGACTTCTAAACCTTTAGCTGAATAACTTTTATAGTTTATTTGTATTTGTTGTTTCAAAATTTGAGCTGTGCAATGAAGTTATTTTTCTTGTTACACTTTGCCTTATGGTGTGTGTTGTTTGAACCTATGTGTTACATATACCTGATGTTAAAACTCCACCTGTCTGTCCTATAATATCTCACACCCCCACAATTAATTCTGTACACACCTAGCTTATCTTAACAGTTAAGTTTTTGGGGTCTTTAAGGAGTTTGATAATTTGGTTCTGAAAGATTGAAACAAATGTGTCTTCAAACAAAGAGCTGGTTAATTTTCCAGTACTGGTAGTGGAGCTATTTATGCTATATTATGGTATATTTCACACTATCCGATAATCTATTTGGGAATCGGTCTGATTTTAATTTTGCTTTATGTATTAGAGATGAGCACACATATAAAACATATGTAATCCACAAATACCCACTGCTAAAAGTCGGTTATTGATTTGATTTTTACTTTCTAATCCTGAAAAGCTGTGTGAAGCTTGGAAAAAATTATTCTACATTTTATATAGTTGCTTTTCCTCGGGGTAGAAACTGCGATATTGACTTAACTCGCCTTTCCCTAGCTGTTTTTCATAAATGCTATTACCATTGAGTATACACATCTAAAAGGGGTCAGATAATGCTAATAGTTGTTACCAATTTTGGCAACGTATTTCGGGCGGCTGACGTTTGGGTCGCGGTAGTGCAATGCGCCTCTGAGGACCTTTTAACCATTTAGTAGTACTAAAATGGATTATAAAACAATGAAACTACGAACTAACAAACAAAATTTTTTTAAACAAAAATGACATTTTACAACCTACAATGAAAGCAATAATAAAAACAACTAAACTGCCTTACCGACAAGTCCGAGGTGGAGTAGTTCGGGCCGCTGACGCTACTCAGGAAGAGCGCTGTTCAGATAACTATAACCTCCATTGAGTGGCTAACCTCCAATTATGATCATTCAATAATTTTGTAACCATTAGCTGTATATTTATAATACTTAAACCTATTTATAAAACTTGAATTTGGAAAGAGAATTCTTTATTAACCCTAAGAAGAGGAGGGCCTGGAACCCCCCTTGGACTACTGAAAGTGGCCAAAAGACAGTACATCAGTATTTTTCTGGTGTTTAAGGGTCCTGTACCAAAGGATAATTATTGTCAGTGCTAGCTAGAATGGGCCCTGTCAGGCAACATTAAGACAAATCTGTTGACACGTTAAACATTTAAATTTGTCCACAAATAAGGGAGGAGTTGTGTTAACAAAAAACGGCTTCACGTATCATATATATAGATATTGCTAAATTTGCTGCCAGAGTGATAGACCTTTTTGGTTATTTGTAACCACTTAGCATTGTATGACCCTGACTATCCTAACTAGCCAACTATTACCCAGATCTACAACAAGTGCAAGTGTGCAAATGTTGAAAGTAAGCATCCATTAAGGCATGAATAATTCTTGCTCATATCAAAATCACACTTCTTGATCTTTTACTTTGATTGTTCTCTCATATGATGTTTTTATGTTTCGCAGAGGTGATGAGGGAAACGACAGCTTTCTTCAGGAGGACGGAGAATCACCCAAAAGTGTTTTAAATTTACAGTGGAACCTTGATGACAAGTTTCTCTTAATAACAAGTATCATTATCACATTCCATTGGTTTATACTACCTTTAATTATATATTATTGCAAACCCCAATAAGAAACCAACGTTGAAAACTTTGTATTTTATAACCTCTGTAAGAGACTTGTTATCAAGGTTCCACTGTAAAAAGTTCTATATATTTTATCATTTATTCTTATTAAGTAATCATGTGGGTGTTTTTGTTAAGTGGCAAGATTGATTGTGACTAGTACTAGGTCATATGTCAGGAGATTTTTAGGTTATCCCACTATTTTTGATACTTTGATTGGTCCACTCACCCTTAGGTTTCAATCATGTTAGACGTTTGAGCGTTCGCTAAACAAATTTTACGTACATGAGCTACAAAATTATGATGAGAGAGGGCATAAGAATGTACTTTGTTTTTTGTATACCCATTCACATTGACCGTATATACATAAAAAAGGGTGTAGCAGAACAGTCCGAGTAGTTTTACTGTTGTGGTTAGTTGTTCAGGGGAAGGACGGGGAAGGCAGTCACTATTGGTCTTGTTCTTTTCGGCTGGTTATACCATTAATTCATCCTCTTGGTTTAGCATGATTGTGACCATGAGACAAGTCCAAAAATACAAGTATGTGATTGTGATGCTTACGAACAACACGTTCCTAGTGTGAACACAATATGATTGTGGGTTACAAATTGAGAAGAAAGTAGTAGAACGCTTACAGCTATGAGACACGGATAACTTAGATTGACGACTTATTATTTTGGAAATATGGAAACACAAAATATGCTGTCTGGTCCAAACCATGATGCGGACTGAAATATGAGTAGACAAAGAGAACAAGACTAATTGTGTTCGCTAGTGAAAATTTAAAAACGTACGTTTTCAGGAAAAGCACTTTGCAAATTTTTTCCCCCTTTTTTCAAAACTTTTATTATTATTTTTATTTTATTAACATTTGAAGTTTCATAAAATGTCCATGGTAACGCAATATCTTTGGTATTTTTTTTTAAAAGAGCATCTTTAGTGGAAAAACACAAAATCCTGTCACGTCCATAACAGACGTTTAAATGAATATTAAAAATAGTTAATATTATTTTTATAACTATGTTTTGCTATAAACTAATTTACTTTTATGACCATTATACAATAAAAAGGTCACTGAGCTTTTGGTATATTTGGTCTTTCTAGAAAAAAATAAAAAAACTCAAAAAATTGAAAAAAGCCAATAAAATCTTTTTAAGTTTGTATAACTCTGGAAAAACTTACCTGAGACCCGAAAAATCGTTATGTTTGTATAGAGGTGTGCTTCTTTTGTGTATAAAACATTGAAATATGACGATATTTTAATTTTTGAAATTTTTATGATAGAAATCATAAACGTGATGGTCAGGGACAAGCGGTACGGTCGTGAATTTTCTGAAATAATCTAAATCTTTCTAAACAATCCTTCAATTATACTGTTAGTTATAATAAAAATAAGTATTTAAATTGAACTAAACTGTTCAAATTACAATTATATTAAAGTTATTGTCACAACCAAACACACTATAATCCATAAGGCTGGATTGGTCGTGAAAAAAACCCGCGATGGTCGTGAAACTTTGGTCGTGAAATTACGTGTTATTTGGCTCTGTTCTGGCGGTAGCCCTGCACCTCATGTTTGAGGATACAAAGTGGACTTCTAGGTTAATCTAGCAATTGAAATATCTTATAAACAAAAATTAACACCATGTCTACTTCATCGAATGACTACGTACGGTCATGGACACACCAAAATTACAAAAAACACAATCTTTCCTTTATTAATCTTGTAATTCCTCCTTTGAACTCGAAACGACCGGCACTACAATCCTGACGTACACCCCGAACTAGTCTCTAAAACCAACTGACTCCATCGACGCCAGGCTTGCCACTGTCGTGCTCCAAAGTTGAAAATTTTTCTCAAATGGTCGTGACGCCAAATCGAGGGACAGACTTATTTTGTCATGGTAGTCAGTTTGCAATGACAATAAAATTATAATATGCTCCTTTTTTGTAAGTTTAATAACCATTGATGACATAAACATATGGCTTTATATATTTCGGCATGAATAATTAGTCTAAAAACAGCATGAAAGTTGGAAAATGTACCCTAGGGACACGTCATGGTCGTGAATTTCGAGACTTTAAAATTACGTAAAAAATACCTAGAACCTATTTAAAACCAAATAAATGTGTGTAACATGTTGCCCCCGTCCCAAAAAATATTAAAACACATAATAATAAACTACAAATCCAGTATCTACGAAGTAAAAGGCCAGGGACATGAAAACGTACGTTTTTAAATTTTCACTCTCGCCCTTCATGTCGGAGATCTAAGCGAGTCAAACTATTCAGTCCGTTCTGCCGCACCCTGTGTAAGGGCACTTTAAATATACTTTTAAAAACAGTAGTACTAAATACTTTATTGTCTTAGGAATAGGTAGTCTCCGTCCATTAGTGTATTTAGGAACTAGCCGGTACTGTTCCTGTATCTATATTATATCCATTCATATATATATACATAAAACTTACATCATCTAATATCTATCTATATTCTATACCTATTTTTATCCGTTTTATATTCATCTATTTGTATTGAAATGGTATACGCTAAAAGATTTGTGATAGGGAGCCCCACAAAAACTTAAATTGTCCCATCACTACCAGTATCTGTCAATCAATATTACAGCTGTGGTGCAAGAAATTGTATTGACCCCTCAAAATAGTGATATTTGAAAATGGATATTTGTAAGAAGATCGTGTCTAATTTGTTTTTGGGGATCCTAAAAATAGAATAGTTAGGTGTTAAGTTTTATAGAATATTTTAGCTATTGTTCAAATGTTACTATGATAAAAACAAAAAAATACACAAAAAAACTAATAAAATTTGTAAAAACACAAAAAAACAAATAAAATTTATAAAATCCATTTGTCTTTATTCATTACCTACTTACATTATCTTGGATGGCATATCACCAATTGTTTACAGTATTTTATTGTAAATAATGATAAAATACTATTCAAAT